TCTCTCTCTCTCTCTCTCCAGCCAATTCTTGGGAACAACTGCGAGCATCACCAAAAATGTAAGTTAGCTATAAAAACCTTTGATTTTTGAATCGGTGAGCTCGCGCCGATCCATTACACCCTCACCGGCTCTTAATAACTCACTGCAAATGTGAAGCGTATTTCACAGCATCTCCAAGTCCAGAGCGGCTGAATTATTAAAGAGTTGTTGCTCATCTGCTCTATGGATCGTTGCAATGACTCTGCTGTGAATAATTTAAGAGTGTCTCAGGGGTCAAAGTACGTGTGCTCTGTGTGTGTCTGTCAGTGACTCATGGCCCATCTGAATCTTTTGCAATAGTCAAATTTATTTGTATTGCTTAATCTCACACTGAAGAGGCTTTTACACACCCACAACAACAACATCTCCTGACCCGGCTCAGCGTCGTCTTTACAAATAACATGTGAAAACCAGGAAGTCAAAGAGAGAGAGCCCCCACCACACCCACGCTTTTGATCATGGCTATATGCGAAGAGTAAAAAGAAGGTTTGACTAATGTATCTACAATGTTTGTCTATTTCATGTGCGCGTGTGTGTGCAGTCTGACTTGGCTGCCCTCTGTGACTCAGTGTTGTGGAGTGATTTCAAGTCTGAGCCTGTTCAGACCTTTTGTTCGGAAATGCTGTTTTTGTTTTTAGGAATGAGTGAGATGGATGTGAACCTAAACAAGTGAGGAAATCCCACAGTGGTGCTTAAAACAAAGACACACACATGCTGCATTAATGTGACAAACATGCAGACCCACTACCAGCGTGGACGCAGCGAACTTCCCAAAGCAGAATGACCGCGTGAGCTTTGAGTGAGTCACATCCAGACTGTGATGACTGTCTGCGAGACGACACGAGCCTTATCAATTTACTAATCTGCCTCATTTGTATCATAATCCTCCATATTCCTGTCTGCATCTCTTCCTGAGTGCCCGCATGTTTACTCCACTGTCTGCTTCCAAGCCAATCAGCCTGTCACTGTCTGTCTGTAACAAGTCAGTTATGTGCGGCTCAGTTTCAAAGCCTCTGAAGAATTCAGATGACTGACGTTGCTTTGCTTTGGCCGATCTAAGAGGTCAGTACCAGAGGATTGCACACATTCTCCAACGAGAACTAGCTTGTGCGTTATCCAGACGTTCAGATGACGTCAGCTTGTGTGCATTTCTGGTCTGCCGCTCATGGATTACTGTGAATCTCAGCTAGAAAAAGGGGAACAAAGCTAGCGCTAAACACTGGAAGTCAGGTTTGCTTACTGTTATGAGTCTGAACATGTTGGTAATTACACAGAAATGACAGACAGATGGCTGGCACTGCTGCCTCACAGCGAGAAGGCCCCAGGTTCAAATCCCCCAGCTGGGACCTCTGTGGAGTTTTGTGGAGTTATCTCCCTGTGCTCGTGTTGGTTCTCCCTGGGTTAGGTTAATTTGCAATTCTAAATTGGCCGTAGGTGTAATTACGAGTGCGAATGGTTCCAACCACTACCTTCCCCCCACTGACCCCAAACTGGATAAGTGGAAGGAAAGGTGGATGGATGGACAGGTGTTGCATGGATGTTGTAACTCCTGTTGTAAACTGATTCAGAGTAATTCTAGTTTATCACTGATTATCTGGTTATAAACATTTGAACATATGCATGCACAAAGGCCATAAACAACATTCGCTTTACTTCCCAGGAAGTGCAGGTTGCATACTTCCCAGAACTATGACCCAGTTTTTGACCGGACAACTTCCTTATGTGACTGACATAGGATGCTTCCACAAATGCACTGGCACCCCTGAACTTTTCAAGGCTATACCTTAAAGAGGTGAAAATGCAAAATCCTCCCAGCTCGGCAGCACAAAGTCTGGGCGATCAGTTAAATAAAGCCCAGGTTAAATTTATGCAGGAAGCAGTCTAGCGAATTCACAGCAAAGGAGTGGTCGTAATTTGCTGCGGGCCCTGCACGCGCTGCTCAGGCAGCCTGAAGCAAACAGATAGTCAGACTGAATGTGAAGCAGACTCCGAGTGTACAATATCCTTACTTCATTCGCCTGACATCCACGTGTAAAAACAGCTACATAGAGTAGACGGAGGAAATACCAATAAGAAAAGAAAAGGAAAAAAACAGCTCAGAAGATTTTCTTTACATAGGATATATGGGGATTTAGTATTTGAATCTTCTGCTTTCTGTTAACTCCAACCAAACTTCACCTCCTCCCCAGCCGTAGAGGGCAACGCCACAGGACGCACAAATTTAAATGAGTAACAGACTTTGATTGAAAAGCTCATTTTATGTGTTACTGGCCCTCAGTATCTGATCACACGGGGCGAAAAAACATTAAAATCTGATGTCTGAGCTGATGGGCTTCTCACAGTCATGGCGTGGTCAGCAGCGTTAGTAGCAGTTGCCTCCGGCAGATGGCTGGAGCTGGCAGAGTTCAGTTTCATTTATAAATGTTGTATTAAAAAGCGGCTCTCTTTCCTGCGTTAATGCGAACTGCACTGACCTCCTCCTCCTCTAAAGCGACGCCTGCCTTCTGAGCCCACAGAGCCCCAGTGAACGATGGGACCACAAGTGACATCAACACCAGCCACGAAACACAACACATGAGCGGGCAGCCGGTGCCAAAATATCTGCTGTGAACCAAACGAGCCAAAAAAGAAGAAAAAAAGCGAAAAAAAAAAAAAAGCAGGCGAATACTTCAAAGAAATTCAAGAAAGGCAATGAGAGATAAAAGCTACCAGAGATAAGAGAAGGGAGCAGCCATCACATGCTCAGTTTAGAAAAATTTGCTCTTTTTTTATCGCTGGTATTTATCTTCTATTGTGATAAAGAAATGCACCTCATAAACTAACATATCAAGTCAAAAATGACTCAGTGATCATTTACTTGTTAGTTAAGGCTAACTTAGATCAGAGGGTTTCTTTGTTTGCTTGGTTCACCTCTGACAATGGTTAAACCACAGATCTATCCACCCCTTGACCCCGCATCTGAACTCCACCTCTCCGCTGTTTATTTCTGCAGGCCTAATTGTGCAGCACACCTGTGCATTCTCTTTCAGCTTTATCCGCCCTTCTTTCCTTCCTTTCCCACTTTGCTCTCTCACTCTTCATCAATAGGTTCCCATGAGACAGGGGGTTCCCCACTACACCTGGTAGGTGACACTGATCTTCCACCAACAACCGCATCTAGCAAATGATTGGCTGTTATTCCTTTGTGATGTGGGAAATCCAAACAGCGGCGTCCAAACTCAAAGAAGGCACATCGTGTAGGATGCACGCAGGAGCATTCCTTTTTAACATTCACAGGAACTGTCAGTGTGACGTCAGTGAGGTGTCTGATCACGGTGCACGCCATATTATTCACACTACATTGATTTGGAGGCCAAAAAACCAACGAGATCTTCATCCGATATTCAAACGGATCAGCAGATTTGGCTTCTTGTGACTTTTTTGTCTTCTTCAAAATGAAATTTAGGTCAGAGAGTTACTGCTTTGACACTTTTGGAAAGGATCCAGTGTTGGGATGATGGCCATTTACAGCATTTGCTTTTTATTTTTTTAAGTGCGGTTAAGCTAGGATTACTTCAAAATGTCCTTGTTTTCCAACACCAAATTATCCAGATATGATTTTTAACGCTCATTAATTCAAGCACTGATGATAAATTAGTTATTATTGTTGTTGTATCATCTACATAGATGCTCAAAGGCCTGTTTCCAGCAGCCATCAGTCCTTCAGTGGCACATTGTGTCGCCCAGTGAACGTTTATCACGTTACAGGGCTGATTGATCATCGGGAAAACCTTTTTCCAATTATGTTAGCACAGCTTGTGCTGATTAAAGAAGCCATAAACGTCGAGTATGCGGAGCATCACCCAATTTGCCTGCATGAACCTCCAATAAACTCCAGATTTTACAACCGCGTGCGCTACTCTCTTCAGCAAACAGCACTGAATCTGCAACTGAGCAAGAGTGCATCACTTCTCAACCAGAAGCTTTTTTTTTCTTGCAGTGGTGAGGTCACTCCAGGATCGTGGCCTTCTGTGCAGATTTGCAAAGAAAAAGCCACATCCAAAAAGACGGGGAAAAGAGCAGACACTGAACAGAGGAATAAAACAAACGATTAATCATTAATGAAAATAACTTCCACTTACAACCCTAATACTAACATTCGCTCTTTATATACTTTAAATGACGAATGACTGCAGCGCTGGTGAGGGAATTACAGATGTTTTAAGCGGGGTAATAGCTGGTAGTTTTGGACTGGCCCATCAGCTCCTACACATCGCGCATTGTGTGTGTTTTCCGGAGTTTGGCTGATGGTAAAGTATGTGGTGTGTGGGAAGATTGTGTTCTTGATCTGGCCCGAGACAGGACGGTCACTGTATACTTGTGTTTGGGGGAGGGTACTGAATACTGTCTTGTCTGTGCAGAAGTGCAGGCTCTTATCATCCTCGTCTGGGCTGTGTGGCACTCAGGACGGATGTGCTCATCCCTCAGGAATAGTCTGGTATTGTTAGCTGGTGAAGGAGGCCCAGCCATGACAGCAAACAAAGGGACAGGACGCACACACACACATAGACTCACTTCAGGATAAAAATATGCACTATGTCAACAGACCTCTGTGTGTGTTTAAATAAGTGTGTGAACCTTAGTCGCTAATGGCCCAGGCCTGCAGATATAAATTGTTCCCATCATCTTGATTTTCCTCAGAAAAGGTTTTGCCTGTCTTAAAAAATAAAAATCAATCAGATTTATTATAAAAGCTAAGACATAATCAACTAATTTAAAAATCTGAATAGTTAGAGCCACAGTGACCTAAAGTGTCAATTACTTGTGAAAACCTTCAAAAGCCCCCTCACTGTTGTCCTTCTCATATATAAAACACGATTTGGATGTTTAACAAACACGGCAAACATTAGATATGTGGAGCCACGTCTTTACCTTCAGTATATTCTCATAGATTGTGTCCCGGAAATCCAGAAGTGCCTTCTGATCAAACTCCTGCCCGTTAATGATGCGCATCTGTTTGAGGAATGTGGACTTTCCGCTCTCCCCGGCCCCGAGCAGGAGGATCTTCACCAGCCGCCGAATGGCTCTCCTCTCCCGGGCGATCATCGCGTCTATCTCCCGACTCCTGCGCCTCGCCTCCCGCTCTTGCGCCGCGTCTCTCTCCCGGCTCCTCTCCTTGCTGCCGCCGGGGTCCCGGCTGGCCTCGGCCGGGAGCAGACAGCGGCTCAGGGTGCGGACCACTCCCGACATGGCGAGTCGTGGGAAAAGTTTACCGAAACTCCAGTGGGAAAATGTTCATTATAGGATTTTGATCCCCCACCCCCGGGATGGAAATGCTGCGACTACAAAGTTCACGGATAAACACGAAAAACACGCGAAAAAAAAATAAAGTCTACATTTAGTTTGAGAAGCCGTTATCTAGTCTTCAACCGGCAGACAGCCCGTGTCCATCTTGGTTAGACCTCGCCATCCACAGAAATCACTCTGGACACAGAAACAAAGCCAGAAAGCAACAAAAGGAAGTTTAAACGCTCAAATGTTAGAGGCCCGAAAACAAAAACAGAAAGTTGACCTGGAGTCCGTGTGTTCATCCAAAGCACAACAACTGTAACAACGCCGAGGCTGTGGTATCTGACTCCGTGGGACAGCTATCCAAACTATCCAAACACAGCCAGCGGTTTGTGAACTTGGAAGCTCCTGCGGGCGGCGCTGGGACGGCCAGACTGCTGAGGGTTACTGATAATTCCCGACAGGGGGCGCTAGCAGACGGAAGGAAATACATATAGAAGGAAAACAGAAACATTTAGCGCTGCTGGTGATGTTTTCTCCTGCTGTTCGTGTGTGTGTGTGTGTGTGTGTGTGTGTGTGTGTGTGTGTCATCACTGGGAAATGTGGTCCTGCTCGGTTTGAGCACTTTTACAGCTCTGTTTGTGGATGGTTTATTGTCAGCGTCACACAGACTTTACATGTGGTCACAAAAGTTTACAGGCCAAGGTCAAAGATACCTGTGGCCCATTAGCACTGAGTAAAGTGGGGCACCCAAGGGGCTATTGGCTCGGCACTTTATACCCCTGTTGCACACCCTGTTTAATTTTTAAGTGTGTATGAAGTAGGAGGTACAAAAGTCCAATTTACCTTTGTGGCATAGCTGATGATGTTTGTGAGCGTGGGTCTGCAGGCATTAGTTTAGCAAAAAATATGAGACAGAGGCAGTTTGAGTACTAGATCAGGGGTGTCAAACATAAGGCATGGGGGCCAGAATCAGCCCACCAAAGGCTCCAATCTGGCCTGCTGCTTTGGCAAATTTGAGCATAAATTTTGGACATTTATCTGTGTTTTCATCATTTTTGCAGCTTTTCTCCTGAAGTCCTCAGCAGTGGAAATTCATACAACACGGAAGTAAATAAGTAACAGGTAAAGAGTTAAATGACAGAAAGTTAATGTTTTTTCACTGCCAGACAGTCTGGGCAATCGGATACCAGAACCCTCTCTGTCATTTTACATGTTTGTTTTTCAGAATTTAAGCTGAAGAGTCGTGCTGACAGATGTCTTTCATTTACTGCTGAAGCATTTCTGTATCATGTAGAAAAACTGCACTTCTTTTTCTTTAATTGAAATATCTCTAGGATTAAATGTGTAGTTAAATTTCTTTACGCTGACAAACAGGTGAGTTTCACTGGTCCAGCCCACTTAAGATCAAAGTGGGTCGTAAGTGGTTCACGATGTAAAATAACATTGCAACACTCCAAGCTACCTTCACAAAAAGGACACTGAATGCTGCACTAAGTATTGAGTACTCATGTTAACATGTAATGAGGTATTAATGATTACTGAATACTCTTGAGTTGGAGTGTTGCCAAGGAATACTGTGGCTTGTGTGATCACACACACCAAGATGATCTGTAGTTTTATACAGCTACACATTTTCTCTTTTCAAATGTTCGCTCCCAAATCCTGAAAGAAAGTCACACTGGCTAATCAAAATGTTTAAAATGATTGAAAAAAATCACAATAAAAGTATAAAGTTCTTGCTGCATCCACTTTTTAAATGAAACAATTAAGTTTAGTGCATTAGTTTGAAGTAGTCTCATGATATTTCTGAGCTGATGCAGCTTAGATCCATCTTGAGATATTCAAACCATTTTCTTTAGTTGAATTAGTCCAATCAGATTTCCGATTCGTGGTCTGTAATTTGTCAGTTATAGCTCAGACCAGAAATCGGTCTTTACTGACTCTGATTTTTATCCATATTGCTGCAGTCCATCATAAAGCTCATCCTTTTAGCTTTTCCATTTCCAATAATTTATTTTATTTTACTTTCACGTCTTTATGAAGCTCGCAGTTCTTACAATTTTGATCTAAATATTTTCCCAAGAGCCTCGAAATCTGACCACGTGTTTAGTGATCAGTGGAATTTCAAACAAACACGGCAAGCAGACAAACCTTGAATTTTTCTACACTGTGTGTAATTGAGTTGGACACATTCCAGGTGCTGGATATTACCAATTTAACTTCTTACTATATGTGTAAACCAGGCCATCCCTCTATTTTCTTTACTTCTTATTCTGTTTAGGGTTACAGGATGAGAGGTGTGTGGCATACCCCAGCTGTCATGGAGTGAGAGTGGGATACACCCAGGACAGGTTGCCAGTCCACCAAAGGACTCATTCATGCTCACATTTGCATGTACAGCTAATTGAGAATCACTAATTAACCTAACATGCATGACAAGGTGCTGGCCAGCCAGTGGATTCAAACTCAAGACCTGCAGCACCAGACCCTGATGCCCCTAAACAGATTAACAGATTTTGCCTCATTTAAACACATTAAACCATAAGATTTGAGTAGCAGCCAAGAGTTAGGGTCCCCTGTTCCCTTTTGCTCTCAGAGACACGGGGAGAACATGCAGACTGCACAGAACATCTCCTGTGGATTACCAGATTTATATTTTGGTAGAAATCTGCAGTGTGGTGCAAAAAAGGTTCTGGGTTCAGATCCACACTGGGACTTTTCTGTGTGGACCTGTGTGGGTACTCTGGCTTCCTTCCATAGTGCAAAGAGTGCTTGTTAGACTTATTGGTGATTCTGAATTGGCCGAAGATGTGAGTGTGAATGGTTATCTGCATGCGACAGACTGACAAGCTCTCCAGGGTGTACCCATGACAGCTGGAATATGCGCCAGCCCACCATGACCCTGAATTGGACGAGTGGCTGAAAATGGGTGGAAATTAAAATGCATCTGCAAGCCTGAC